ATATATATATACACACACACACAATATATATATAAATTGATGTCACATTAGATGGAGTAACTAACCTCTTTCTACCAAGGCTCATCACTGTTGGCCAGCACTGTCTCAGCTTATACTCAAGAGGACTTGGTAAATACTCCATTGAGAAGATTCATTCTTGAGCCATTCATATCTTAGTATATGCAGCCTGCCCATTTTATTTCTTTAAAGTTTCTGATGCTGTCTCCTCATTTTGGCAATTGGTATGTGGAATACAATCCTTGTATCCCCCAGCATATATTTTTGGATTTATAGATATCACAACCTTTCAAGTTTGAAGATGTCTGTTCCTTCTCCAATCTTCCAAATCACCCTAGTTTCAGCACCTGATATTCTCTGCACCTTCTCCAGCTCCTTTTTTTCTTTTCTCATCATCATCTCATTATCATCATTATGATAAAGGCCAGCAAAACCCCATGCTACACTTCGCTCATCTGAGTAGCAGGACAAAGCTGGCCCTGGTATTTTGTGGCACGCAAAGAGAAGGTGTCCCTTGGAAGAGCCAAAGTGTGAGTGAGTCCCCAGCTCTCAAAAGTGGCTGAGGATGAGAAAGTCCTAGTGTGGGTATTTGGTCACTGGGCAGAGATTTTGTGTGTTCTCTTCCTGAGCAGATGAGAGTCTTTCACTAAATGGGCTCCAAATTCAAGCTGGATCATCGCCTGAGCTGAGGAAGTACTATGGGGCTTGGTGTCTTTGGATGAAAGAGAACTATGTTAACCTCAGAAGCACTCAAATTCCAGAAGACGAGCTAACAAAGTTATCTGAGAGAATTTGGACAGGTGAAAGAAACAAGGGGCTTTAAAATATTAGAGTTACCTAAGGAAGTCCAATTTCCCTTTCTAATTCAAGAGTGTCAATACCCCTCTGCAGGATAGTTGAAAGGATGTAAATGGAGTAAAAATATCACCACTGCAATCTTGTGTTTAAAATGTAAACATGGATATACAGCTTCACTACATAGCACTTCTGCCCTCTCTCCTGAGCTCTAAATTGGATTTGACCTTCTATAGATTAATTTTGCCAATATCGTGGCATCTTTTCAGATTGGCCTCCTTGTAACTTTGATTCTATATTTAAAAATGTGGTGCCAACTCTTTTCAACTTCATTTCTGGGGTTAAAGTTGAAGATCTGATCTTGGGAAATGCTGCTGAGCTGACCTGAGAATGCGGGCAAGGACTGACCACTCTCAGAGAGTCAGGCAATGGTCTCTTAGCTGCAGATTACAGTTAATATGATGCCAGGAGCCATTTAGCACAAACAACCTAAGAAAGCTCTAAAGAAAATGTGGTAAGGAGGGCAGATAATATCTACTGTCTATTAGGGAATAGCTTAGAATTAGAAAATAGAAAAGAGAATGTTATTCTTTTATATTGTTTTCATAAATAATTCTTGGAAATTGCAAAATGAATATTGTTAAAGACCTGTTTCTGGAGAGGTATAAAGAGGTTCTGAAACAACAGCTATATGTATGCTGACATGAATTTTATACTTTGCCCCAAAACAAAATAAAATGTAAGTATTCTGTGTGCATGCTGACCAAGAAGTCCCCCAAAATGAAGAAATGCTGGACTCACATTGGTGACATATTCGATATCCTTCCAAAGGATGCATTCTCTGGGGAAATCAGCCAAGTCTAAGAAGTGATCCACCACCACTTGGCCGATTAAGTCATGGCGAGAGAACCTGTCAAAGTCGTACACAGAGAAGTGAAGCTTCCGTGCAGCAAGGTCATGGTAGGGAACCGGAAACAAAAACACTTCATCAAACACAGGGTTCAGGGTCTTTCTGTGAACTTTAGTCTGGTGTTTTGTTTTCCGATCGGGAAGCAAATAGATCTTGACATAAGGATCTGAAGTTCCAGAAAAGTCCTTGGCGGGCAAATTGACAGCTTTGTGAATCTTCACTATGAGCTGCTCTAAGTCACAGTCATATTTTAAAATGAAGTTCAGCTTCCCACAGGCTTTGCTGTTACTCCTCCTCCCATCATCATTGTCCAATGACCTCTGCTTATATAACTCCGGTTTAATTCGACCAATTCCAGTCAACTGTTCCTGTTTTTGAAGCTGTTGGATATTGAAGTCCGGGTTTGACAGATTGAGTTGTCTTCGGATTGAATTATGCCTTGAATGAAGAGCAAGAGAGAACAAAGTTATAACCTCATTAGCTACGGGTCTTTCAGAAACTTGTGCCTGGGATGTAGGTAGACTGTTACGCACCGTTAAAAGCTTAGATCTGTGGGCTCTTTTTTTTTCCTTTGGCCTAAATTCAAAATGCTCATCAGTATGAGTAAGCTGCTCCCCAAGGCTTGAAGCTCAAAATTGAGGCCTGGTATCAGGAAATGAACTTACTAACACATGACCTTGGAGCTTTAAAGGTTTAATGCACTTTCTAAACTAATATACCATTAAAGAAGCTTCTTACGCTGGTGGAATGTAAAGATTTGTACAAACTGGTTTAAAAATAAAATTATTCACCTTCATATATAATATCATCCTGAACTTGAAATAGTTAGCCATGTGTTGTCTTAAGAAGAATGAATCTTTTTCTAAATGATACAGAATTTCCTGTCACTAGCATATAGCTTTACAGGATGTACATTCTTACGGGTTCAAATCAAATCATTTCATTACAAGAACATAATCTTTGCTGCCATGAGAATGTATGTGACAGGACGTATCTGCTTGTAGTGGATTATGCTGGCTTGGACAGGTGCAAGTGACAGCTCTGTGATTAAACTTCTGTTACCATGTGGGTGATCAGTGATCAGGAAGAAGGGTTTTATTTCCATAATAAACAGTAAGGGTATAAAAATTAAAGGTAGGCTCCTATAAATGTATATAAGGATTCAGTTATAGAAGGCTGGAGACTGATATTTGCAAATTAAATATTTGCTAACAGAATCTACTCTTCACCCTATGAGCTTATTGGTTTGGTTTAGAAGTTTCCCTGAAATTCTACTTGAAACTTGTCTTATATGTGTGGGTCCTCACAAATTGAGAGAAGTAGTCATTACATATGAGGTTATTTTTTTTTGTTTTTAGCTGAAGAGTTCAGAGTCATTATATTATATTTTATGCAGTCTCTCCATAACCTTAATTACAATATCCTCTCTCCAGCAGAAGGAAAAGGGAATCTCTGAGGGATTGGTAAATAGTTAGAGAGGCAGAGTAAACATTTGTGTTTGTCTTCTTTTCCTGGCTTAAGTCTACTTTATGAAATAAAGATGCAAAAATGGGATTAATAGACCCCAAACAAGTTTGAAATTATTCTCCCTTGTCATACAGATGTTGTTATGCTGAACATTCCTCTTTATCCTAAAATACCCTCCTGGTCACTAATCACCCACGTGGTACAACAAGAGCACAATCACAGAGCTGTCACTGCACCTGTCACAGCCAGCAGTCTACCGCAAGCAGACATACCCCAGGCACATACATTCGCAACATGCATGCGCAAACACTGTGGTCTGAAAGTATCTGTTGTGAGATTTTAATTTCTTACAGAGAAACCCACGATCTTAAGTTTTCTCTGGATCTTATGATTTGTCAGGAGATCAGGGAGGCAGGAGATGCTGTTAAGTGCCTATAACTGGCTCCCTGTGCTAGCACAGCCAGGTCATTCCCTTATCCAGATGTTGAACATTTGTAGTGCCAGAATGGAGCTTTAATCTTGCTCTAGTGGGATCTCTGGGCAGAAAGGACTGGCAGGGAACAGCAAGCGTCCAGCCCTATGCAGAAGCCATAAGGAACAGCTCTGGTTCCTCTGCTATTGATTTTTCTCTCCGGGCTCATTCTAACAAGGGCCCTACTTGGGTCCAGAGTCAGTTCCCACCTACAATGGGCCATTCTGGGTGCTTTTCTAGTTAGTGGTTCTGTTTAAATACTGAAAGTGCTCCCTCAAGGCCCACTGGATGTGCCTCCTCTGGACCAACATCTCTGATGGCACACCAGACCTGTGTCTACGCCAGCCCCAATCCCCGACACTCTGCTGCTACTTTCTCCTAAGGTGGTTGCTGTGCAGATTCTCTGTGCTTAACAACTTACCTTCAAGTTTTTTGAGTACTGGCTTTAGATTCATCACAGCAACATTTTGTCTTAACCCTTATCTGTAGGACGAAGCCTGCCATGTAAATGTAAATTTTAATTTAAAATACATGAATTTGGCTGCTTAGCAATGGAATATATTCTGTTTTACTTGTACATTTTCTTAGAAATGAACTCTGAAGAGAAATAAGCCCTACGTGCTCTGCTCTTCACCCACAGTGGATTGCCAGGGGGTAGAGGAGGTGGATTGGGGAGGGCATTATGGAGAGATTTGTACTTCAAAGACTGAAGCAAGATCCCATTCTCTCAGAACCCAATTGCACACGATGCCTCCATTCAAAATTACACACAGCTGAAGATTCTTTTTAAAAACCAAGCATAGATATGAATACTATCATCTACCCAAATGTTTTACATGACTAGTTTCATTCCCAACACTCTTCCTCCATTCAGAATCACACATACTATTGAGAAAACAGTTGAATCCAATTGTAAGGTAGTGGCTTAAAGCAGATAGCAAAGACTGTAACAGGCCGTGACAGTTCTCACTCCCTGGGGCTCTCTTTCAATCGCTTTCCATTTCCTTTCAGGAGACAGTTAGCCATTACTGGAGTAGGTGGGGGACGGGGGTTAGAGCAGAGAAGCTCAGAGCAGCCAGAGAACCAGGGTAACTCGTACCGCCCCCTCCATAACCTCTGCAGCTCTCTGGGCTGAGAAATGAGAAAGTAGAGCAGAGAGGCTGCTCCAGGGACATGAAGAATTCTAAAATGGTCAAGGGATGTGGTCCTTGAGTGCAGTGAACTAGAGGTCCCCCAGGGTAAGGGTCTAGAATTTCAATGCCACTGAGTGACACTGAGTGAGTGTGCAAGGAAGGATCTGTGTCTGAAGCAGACAGTCCTCTGAGTAGGTCTGGGGAGTCCTGTATTTTGGGTGTTCTCAGGAATTAAGTGCACAACGAATGGAAGGAGGGGGGTGGGCCCCAAGGATGGGAGGCAATAACGAAAGCGGAGAGATGGTGTCCTCTGTCAATAAGTCATACCCTAAAGCTGTCTTAGGGAAGCTGGTCATGGGGGTTGGAACTCGCAGCTTCCTCCACCTCCTATTCTCCCTCAGTGCGGGCAGAGGTCATTTTCCTGTCATGGAAGAGACAAGGAAGAAAACGTAAAGATTGGACTTAGCTATCCCTGACTTGAGCTGGAAGATTGGTGGTTGAGCCTGGAGAAATCCTAATTTCAAAAATGATTAAACAAAATCTGTGAATCAGATTTCCCACAACAAAGTCAAAAACACACTTTCATGCCTGAAGGAAGCTGACCTGCTGCTGAGTTGCAGCCAAGGGTCAGGAGCAGCAAGCGCCCAGAGGCAAAAGGCTTTTCCTCCTCTCCTTTCCTCAAATTTGAATTAACCAGTTCCAGCATCCCACTTTGAGTCTCCAAAGTCTCAGTCCCTGAACCATCACCCAAAAAGCCTACTACCTTCATTGGATCTTAAGAAAGAGGACATAACTGTAATTGAACAAATTGGAATGTGCAGCGCAAGGGTGAGGTAGGGCAGAGGCACAGACGGGCAAAGCCTACTGACTGCCTTCAAGGAATGACTGGCGCCTGGCGTGGGCTGGGGGGGGTGATGTGATGAGACAGTCATGCACTAACTCTAAAGCAGGGCAGAGGAGGATAAGAACTGACCAGAGGTTGGAGAGCCACAGAAGCAGAGAGGTAGAAAGAAAGGCCTCTGGCTTGGGAAATTGTCCTGGAGGAGATGATACTTGAGCTGAGCCTGCTACTTAACTTGGCCTCATACTTATCAGCCTCCAAGCTGATGCTCTAGACCTCAACTTCTCCTTCTACCCAATTTCCACAAATCAGTGGTGAAGATATCTACAGTTTTTATTTTCAAATGAAGTATATTTCTTGATACTCAGAGTACTTATACAGTTTTCTAGAATAAATACTGTGATAATTACAGTGATACGATTGCTATCAATTCATGAGAATTATGGCAGAGTCCTCAGATCCATAATCTAAGAAAAACACAGTACTATCGCCCTATATTGATGGAACCCAGACTAGAAAAATTAACATGCAGAGTAAATCCGAAGAGCAGACAATTTCAATGGAGACTCTATCTGAAAGGCTCTGCTTACTGAAGTGCTGAAAGGATTTTATTATGAGTCTGCACCATCGCACAGGCTCCACAGCAGCATCACACAGAGTTCCAGTTATATTTAAGTCTTAAATCTGAAGAGAAATTCTAGTGATAAAATCTGAGGATTTCTTCTAAATCAAATGGCAAACAACCATCCATTTCCTCAAAGAGGAATATTTTAGGTTTAGCTCTTTGATTCAGAATTGGAAATGATGCTAAAATAGGTTTCTGAAGAAATTAAATTATAAACTGTCATATTCCATCCCACTTAAAGTGAATAAGCAGAGCCTCTAGGATAAACTTGATTAACATAAAAAAGGGTAAAATCTTATTTCTGTTTCCAGAGAACAAATAAAGAAGATTTTTTAAAAATACCCCCAAATTGTGCTCATACTTTCCAAATAACAGCACGTGCTATTCCTCTGGCTATCGCTCAAGCGAATATTTTCATTTTAAAGAAAGCTGCTTTCTGAGTCTCTTTTCCTGAAGTCTCTTATGGAGAGTGAATTTTCATATCCTGTGATTCAGAACTGGCTGTTTAACCTTAAAGCCACCTTTATGCAACATGTGGGTCTTGGGAGAGGCCAGTTTCAATGATAATGATGATGCTAACAGCAATACTGAAGCAATACTGAATTTTCAATACTGAAAATGGCAGCTCACGATCTGGAGTACTTATCAGGTGCAGGCCTGTGCAAAGCACGTGATGCACACATTATCATTTCATTCTTAAAACCACGCACACGTTGGTACTGTCACTACTCCTCTCTTACAGAGGAGGAAAGGGAAACACGCAGAGGTAAAGTCATGTGTCCAATATCATACATGTAAGTAAAACCCAGTTCCTTGGCCCCAGAGCCCTTGCTTTTTCATAGCACTCGATTATTTCTCTACTGCTTAAGAGCACAAAGCATCCAGACCATGGAAAGAGAGTGACGCAGGCCTGCGTACTCTGTAGGCCTTGAGGTCTTTGTCCATCTCCAGCCACTTTGCGGGGTCTAAGGAGAGCCTGTGTGTGACAGCCAGGCTAGGTCAGAGACACAGGAAATAAACTCTAGCACCAGGAGGGCAGCATGGAAGAGTGGTTAAAAACTCAGGCTCCGGTGTTGGTTGAACCAGGGTTCAAATCTTAACCTGGATGTTCACCAACAAAAGACTTTTTTACTTACTCTCCCTGACTTAAGTTTCTTCTTCTGTGAAATGAAAATGATAATAGGATCCATCTCACACAAAGTTGTGAGCTACAATAAAATCACACATATAAAGTTCTTAGATAGTACTTGACAGGATAAGTCTCAGCAATGTTAACTATTGTTATTGTGGACTAAGCAGAGACTAAGCAGACCTCAGGAACCTCACTGCAGGATAGGAAGTACCGAGTTTTCTCATATTCATGTCTCTGATACCGAGTGGACATGTGGAAGGTTACAGGCCCCTTGGCTAATCAATGCCATCGCTACCAACAGAGGGACCAGGGCGGTCCTTGCCTTGCATTCAGAAAGGAAGGGGGTGTTACTGACCGAGCCGATGAGGTTGGCTCTGTGACTTGGCGCTGTACGCGGACGCCATGGGCACAGTTCTCCTGGCCCGCCACCTGGGTGGAGAGGGGAATGTCAGGGGAGGTGTGGCTGATCTTCATGGAGGAGTCGGGGCAGGGCGTGGGAGGGTCTAGGAAGCCCTCACTGTTCTCCTGCTCGTTGGTCTCTGTGTCCGTGTAGTTAAGAGGCTCCTGGTTGTTGTCTTTGCTACCAGAGAACAGGCCTCGTTCTCGCCATGGAACCCAGCAGAGTTTCCAAGACACGAAGAGAGACACACCAAAGAGGGCGAGGCCACAGGCAGTGACCACAAGGGTCAGCAGGCTCACCGAGATATCTGCAAAGAAGCAAAGACCAAAGGTCAGTGTGGTTGCTCTTGCTGTGCCCACCCACTGCACAGTGCGGGCAGAATGACCCTCTCACCCGTTCATCTCTCAGGAGCCGGCTGTGGAAGGCCAGGCTGGCGCTGCTGGGTCACCTGATTCTGAGACAGGGACAATGAGGACTCAGACACAAGCACAGAGCAGGTAACAGGCAGGCCATGTTTAGAAACAATAAACAGCCTGCTATAGCAAGAGGCAGTATATTCGGGGGACGAGGCACGTCCTGCAAGTCAACCGAGAACCTACCCCATGGCACTACAAGTCACTGATATTTTGTGAGCAGGGCGGTTTCAACTGTCCTTAAAAATTGCTCTGTCATCTCAGAGAGCTGTATAATATAATTTGGGAATAATTTAAGTAATAACTTTTTAAAACAAGAGAAACTGGAGTGTTTTTATTTCTATTTTTGATATTATCTTTTAAGGGTCTAAGTAAAACGAAGCTCAAGTCCTCTGAAGCCTCAAGAATACCCACCACCCAGGGGTCAGGTGCCAGGACACAGGGCCGACTGCTATAGCTTGGGTTTCCCCAGTAGCAGACCTGAGACAAGTATTCAAGGGCAAGTGGATTATTGAGAAGGGGAAGAAAACACAGGTAGGGGAGTAGGGAAATAACCCAGGGAAGGCAGCCTGAAAGGGGGCTTTACCAAGCCAATTACCACCATGGGGGACTGGAGGTTAAGCCTGCTGAAGAGGCTCCACACACCTCAGTCACCCCATCCCAGGGGCCAGGGACCTGGGCTATTTATAACATCAGCTGCCTTCAGTTATTGATTTGACGGCAGCTCTCAAGGGACATTTCCAACCTGCAGCACAGGTGGCAAGGTAAGCTTAAGCTTCAGTGGCCAGAAAACTCCCACATTAAATAAATGCAGGGGCTGGCTTTTGGAGGTCAGCAGGCATGCACTCAAGTGGTAAGGGTGAGGGGACACAGTGGGGCAACAACGGGATTTGCTACATGGACCACGGCCCCATGGCCTCAGCTAGAGTCCATGGTAGTGCAGTGTTTAGGGGCTGTGCTCCTAACTCTCAGAACAAGGCCCAACCCCCTCTAGGCTTCCACTTCACCCTATAGTAGAGCCAGGGAGGCTGAGGCATCAACCTGAAACTAATTCCTGGCACTGTGGAGGCTATAAACTCCTTACTTTGAAGGACACCCCTACCTGCCCTTGTGGCGCTCCACTACACTAAGAACCCAGGGATTCTCCCCAGGTTTTGCCTTTACTGTCCATCACTGATATTTGCATTGCTTCAGCCAAAGTTTTCTGAATGTCCATTATATGCCAGGTACTGTGCTAAGCTTTGCAGATACAATGAAGAACATGACAGACACATTCCATACCTTCATACACTCATATTCTAGTGAAGGAGAAAATTAGGAATTAGTTATTTGATAGTGACAATTTCAACCATCCACAGCACACCAACAATCCATGATATGAGACAATTTGTATTTCTGCTGAGGCATGCAGGTGAACCCCTCCTGCAAGTCACTTACCTACTGAGTCAAGCTGACCACCTACCATCTGTGTGCTTTTCAACATGACTCTGAAGGTACTTGACCATTTTTATGAAATGAAAAAACAATTTCTTTATGAAAAATTGCTCTTGACAGAAAGCCAACTGCCAGCGCTGGTGATGGATCTAATGTATCTCCTCCATGCCTCCCAATCAATGTTTGCCCTTATAACGAAACAGTATTATATCTCTGTTTGAAAACACTGTGGTTCCAGTTTCAACACAGGTAACTGAGCTCACAGCTTTGCCACTTTTCTCATCTCAAGTCTGACTGAGATTAGATAAGCAAACTATATAACAATGGAAAATAAGGATAGGTACCACCAATCCATCAGTGAACCACTAACGTTGAGGACTTTCTGGAATTGTTTTAAAGAGAAAGCTAATCAGTGCTGAACACTTAACACAGGCAAATGAAGGCGCACTGAGGGAAAAAATGAAAATTAAAAACCTCAGGTGCAGAGCAACATTGGCAGGGATGAGGGACTGGGAGTAGAATCAGTGGGGGCAGAGTAAAGGGCACTAGAAACCACGCCTCATAGAGCCCCAATATGAGGTAGGGGACAGCATGGCCTGGCCACAGGCTCCACTTGATTCTGACAGCTCATACAGTAGAGTGGAAAATTTATTGGTGCAAACTTCTAGGGTAGACAGTAGTTCCGGAGGCATGGGAAGGAGGAGACTCTGTCCCAGTTAATCAGGCTGCCACAGCAAACATCAACCCCCACCCCCTCCAACAAAATCTAAAAACAAAACAGGCTCCACAACACAGTGAAATCCTTTAATACATTCTGTAATCCACACGGAGGCAAACCTTCCCTACATCCTTTTTTTTTTTTTTTTAATTTTTTGTTTATTGCAGTAACATTGGTTTATAACATTGTAAAAATTTCAAATGTACATCATTGTACTTCTATATCTGCATAGATTACATCATGTTCACCACCAAAATACTAATTACAACCCTTCGCCACACACATGTACCGAATTATCCCTTTCACCCTCCTCCCTCCCCCCTGCCCCTCTGGTAACCACCAATCCAGTCTCTGTCCCTATGTGTTTGTTTATTGTTGTTATTATCTACTACTTAATGAAGGAAATCATATTGTACTCAGCCATAAGAAACGATGAAATCCAGCCATTTATGACAACATGGATGGACATCGAGGGTATAATGCAAAGCGAAATAAGTCAGAGGGAGAAGGTCAAATACCATATGATTTCCTACATCCTTTTAATCACTTCGGCACTGTCCTAACACAGACACCACTAGAAGACTCCCAGCAAAGGCCGGAGGAGGGGTACACCAGAAGGCAGTAGGGTTCAGGAGTGTGATGTGATAATTATATTATTTACCAAATATCAGTCTCTTCCCTCACAGCGCTCCCTCCGAGGGAAGAGCATAAATCCCAATCCCCTGACATTGGTCTTGGCCATGTGACTTGCCCTAGTCAATGAAATATGAGTAGATATAGCCTATGCCACATTGGACCAGAGGACTCTTGGGCTCCCACCTTCTTCTATGAAAAGAAGAGGTCTTAAATGAGGGCTGATCTTTCAGCCTGGGTGCCACGATGGTATAGGCCCAAAGTCCAGAATGAGGAGTAACTTAAATCTGACCCACAGCCTGGGGCAGAACTGCAGCTGATCCACAGATCCATGAGCAAAACCTAAATATTTGATGTTTTAAGTCACTAAGATTTTGAAAGTATTTGTTATCATGGCAAAAAAACTTGACTAATATATGTGACCATATAATTTATTGTCTAAGGCTGGGCCACCACTAAGAAGGAAAAGAGGCAATATTGATAATCACATGGAACAAGAGACTTCTCTCAGGATTGTCCAGGGTAAACCAGGACATATGGTCACCCTGGACTTAAGAATCCCACCTGAGCTCTGAACTCATCAGCATGGTACAATATGGCCTCTCAGGGTTTACCTGGCATAGACATTACGCTAAATAAATTAAAGCCTCGGCCCATTTCTGCTAGTAACCACAGGGCCCTGACACGGCTCAAGAATGACTCCAGCTTGTTAGTTGATACACTCAAAAAACAGCTCACTCCCAAGTCACGGGGGATCCGTGAGAGCGGGGATCTTGTCTGTCTATCTCAGCATTGAATCCCAAGCACCTAAAAGAGTGGAGTTAGTAAATGTTGGATAAAGCCCACCTGAGGAGCCCTGTGGCCACCTTGCTATGTTTACCATGAATTATGGTTGTGGTCTATAAACTCCAGGAGGGGCTACTCACATTCATAGTCCTTATAGATTTTTATGCATATAATTATTACAGAAAATTTCTGGCAAATGGCAAGAGTGGCTTTTTCTTATTCACACAAAGGCATGTGGGTTAGCAGTGGGCCAGGGAACACCTGCCAGGAGAAACCAGTGGTGACCTACCCAGCCACACCAACCACTAAGCATCATCAGCGGGACTTCTGTTTGCAAACAGCTCAGGCTACCCTCTAGACGTTACATTTGTACTCCTCTCTCTTTTTTCAGAAAGAAGTGCTAGAAAACTGCTGTGGATTCACTAAGGCCATACCTACTACCCACCTCACATCCAACCTCAGGAAAGGGAGAGGGAGAATCCGCTTAGAAGCACAAAATAGCTTTATTTAGAAGAAGAGAAGTTATTTCTTAAGTTAAGTGGTATACATGGCCATTTGTTTCATTATTGATCTTTAAACTATATGTATTAACTGTATATACTCTCTGGCATTTATGGTATATTTCATAATAAAAACTGAAAAAAATGGTGATATCAAAAATTTTTTATTCTAAAGATAAATTATTAAAGATAAATTTTCCTATTCCTAAAGAAAAGGAAAGTGTAATTGGTCCTTTTGACCAAGAGTCAAGAGAATAACAAGATGGTGACTCAGGGATGAAGGAGGCAAATGGCAACCCAGTTCTGATCCAGATCCTTGGAGGTGTTGCTGCTTGGGGGTGACTGAGCATAAAACAGCACCCAGAGCTGCCATAGAGAACACCCTTCCAGGGACGAAGTGGAGTAGAATGCTCTGCACTCAGGCCTGATCATCAGAACCCTCTTCTACCGGCTATTCGCCCTAGCCATAGGACATGATGTACTGCAGCAACATCCCTGGACACCAGGCACAAGACCCCATGACACGCCTAGACCCAGCAGACATCCCAGCTGGACACCTATCATTCTAAGGGATCCCTGCAACCCTAAAGACTTGTTTTGGAATAACAAATATTATTGTCCAGTGAGTGAAAAGCTTGAGCACCCATCGCTGCATATGGAGAGCAGAACAGTAGCCGTACCCCTAAACTGTGAAGGGCCAGGAAGAACACATAAATGAACAACAGTGGAAAAGTCAGGGGACAAATGGGCCAAATCAGCAGCTCAAAGAGACCTACCAAGCTGAACCATCAGAACAAATGGTCCTTGACAAAAAAACAAATTA